GGAACACTGCATTTTGAGTTATTTTGCAAAAAATGCCATTGTCATCATTGGTAATTGTGTTTAATAAAATCCAGATTACGATATAATTGTTGAGGAATAAAAAAAATCCTATAGACTGCCAATTATATCGACTATTGAGAGGGGAAAAAGAACAAAAACAGTATATGCATAATAATTTGGAACACAGTGTAATAATACTACTACTTAATCAATCACAATCATCCTAAAGGTGATTTTACAGAGGTGAACATGCTGTACATACATCCGCACTGTCCGTCTTTCACAGTAAAAATATGGAAGGTAAATGCACGTTAAAAAGCTGAGTTGAGCACTGTAACGAGCACAGTGTCCCAAACATCCTTTCTTTTCTCATCATGTTTTCGTGATCATGCAACAGGTCGAGAGAGAGAAGCAGAGTTTGTGTAAACGGTAGACGGGAAGAAAAGAGATGTGTTTGTTTGTGCCTCACCTGAAGTCTGGGATGCCTGCTGAGGTGCTGATTCCTGCTCCGGAGTGAACCACCAAGTACTGAGATTCTTTAATCAACTGAGCGAGGGTTTCCACCTTCACCTTTATCTCCTCTGGATTATCAAACACCTGCCACAGAACGGAAAACATCAGTTTTAATTAAAGAACCAAAGATTGAGAAGGGATGCTTTCAGTATTTTATCTACACAGGAGCGAGTGACATGTTGAGATGTTCAACTCACACAGGTTCAACAACTGAAGCAAAAAAAATAAATAAAAAATTGTGCAACTGGTGTGTCTTTAAAGTTGGGTAACTTTTAAAGGTCCTCGACACTTCACACATTCTGTCATTTCCTGTTTATGTTTATTTTAATGTCACGTGTGTATTACTAACTGAGCAGAGCTTTTGTTAAACATGTAACAGCTCTGGGGAGAGAATTAGAAAGTCTACAACAGAGCTTTAACAGAGAGGATGACATTATGTATATAGTGTATTTACTCCATCAGTGTGCACTTTCGATGTTCTGGTACCTTCTTAATACTATTCTACTTTCCAGAGTAAAATATTGCACCGGCCCTTCACTCATCCACATTTTCTGATTGCTGGAGTTACTGTTTTTAGCCCCTAGCTTGTACTTCTCTTCTCCCTATAACTGGGGACACATGCTACAGGCAACAATAAACACATATGTACACTATAGGGTCGAATGAATACAGAATTGCTTGCATTTAAATGACCCTACTATTGAGAGAGTAATTAGATATTACAGCAGCAGGACAAAACAACAGTAAATAACGATAATAGAAAACTGTGAATGTCTTAACAAAGACTAATAACATTACTTCAGTACTTCCTGTCGTTACCTAACGTTTCCATTGTTTTACTTATCATGGACTATTTGTAAATTGAGTTATTTCAACTCTCTTCTCCACCCAGACATCATTAAACCGAACATGAAGCAGCTATCCTCGGCTAACCTGCTAGCAGTGGATCAGACACTCACTATCTTTATATGGTTTTATACACAATAAATACATTTTACCTCCGGGAGTCCGCAAACGCCTTTGTCTGCGTACGGCGAGAGCCCGGCTGCATAATTCACAGACATGGTTGTTGTTGTTGTTGTTGTTGTTAGTGTCGCTGTCTTTATTGTTTTCTTGATAAAAAGACAAATCTCACAGGCGCGTTTTAACCGACGTCATCTCTGGGTGACGACATATGCTGCATTCACGGACACAGGGAAAATTGTACTTTACGCTATCACCACCCCTTTGTTTCGATAAACAAACCTCTTGTTTACACATAGATAACGTTATAGCTCATTGACAGTATAAATGTAACGGCGCCCAGCAGACTTTAGGGTGTCGTCTTTTATTGAATTTATGATAAAATATCGCACGTTAACGTTATTTTGTTGGATTAGCTTCCAAGTTTATTTAAATGCGTATCAGGAAACCCGGTGCGATGCCTCTGCCCACCAAGGTAACACAGCTTCTGAAAGTAAACAAAGCAGCACCATTTTGAGCTTTTGTACACTCTTGGTGAACTGTGTTACTGCGACGCTTCAGTGCTTGAGGTGGACATTTATATTAGGCAAATCAAACTAAGTCTACAAAACAATTTGATCATGACCAAAAGCAGGTATTTATGCTCAGGTGGTTGCTGCTTTGAGCTGTGAAGCTAATTCCCGATATTCCCGTGTGACATGAAGGCAGCACGCTGTGTTCATGGAGTAATGCTTTCCTGTCATCAGTGGTTTCCTACATTATATAGACGGAAAATACAAACTATTAACAACAACCAGGATAAAAGAAAGCTCAAATACAGATTTATATCAGAAGATCTACAAATAGACAGTTTTAAGAACAATAAAATCCAAGGTGATTATGTTTTTAAATTATTTTAAGATGTATTTCCTACCTGTAACAGTAAATATTAAGTGAAACCTGTAATAACACGCTATACCAAAGAGGTAAATTAAGTGGTAAATGTCACATCAATTACTGCAAGCATTTTTTTCCCAATAAATCTTTATTTTTCAGTTTTAAATAGCCAGAAATAAAAAATAAAGACAGGTGAATAGAACAATAAGGTCATCATCCATACAGCTACATGTGCATATCAGTTATGGTTCCTGTTAAAGCTGTAAAGCAACTCTGAAGACCACCTAAAAGAGGAAAATAGTTGCTTGTCTTAACGGTTTTGTCGTATTGTAATTCATTATCCTGAGATATTCAGTATGAAGTGCCAATTTGAGTAAATGAAACAATCAATATTGCTGATGCAGAAATACACAAAGAGGACACCCATGCACTCTGAAAATCATATCAAAACCCATCCCACTCTCCACTGACTCAAAGGATAGAAATGAAAATAAAACATGGCGGCCTTGTTCTCTTTCACCTCCAGGGCTGAAATACGTTGAAAAACCTGACTGATACTGCAACAACACCTTTTGACAGACATTTTTTCCCCTACAGAAGCTTTTTTTTTTTTTTTTTTTTTGCCAATCAAACCTAAAAATCTCATCACGTTAATCATTCTAAATTGCCGGTCTAACCAAAGAAAGAGGCTAAAATAACAAAGCTCACAAGAGAGCAAATAAAGACAAGAATACAGCAAACAGTCAAAATGTTTTCGGCTTTCTTTTACACTGCTTTAGATCTTTGGCTCCGTCAGACCTCTCAGAGAGAAAACCTGAGGAGAGATACAAATCTGATCAGTAATTAGAAAACACTTGGTCATCCTACACGACTCTTAAATCTGAGCTACTTCAAACAACAACCCCACACTCAAAATGACAGAGAAAACACATCCAACAGTAACCAGAAGAAACACAGCAAAGATCAATTTCATGGTGCCAAAAATGTTCACGAGGATTTCACCCACTGACTCAGCTTGCCAGCCAGTCCTCCAGATACAAAGTTCTCTGGGATCTCCATCGACACAAGTCTCTCATCAGCGAGCTGAAAGCAGATCATGATGTCGGTAAACAGTCCACCAGTAAAAGAGACCAAAAAAAAAAAACCTTCGAAGATGTTCTGGCATGCACAAGAACTTTGAAAGACATCGTCCTGTGACATCCCGTCTTATCGGAGCGAGACAGATTTTAAAACTTGGAAATGTCTGAGTCGTATTTGCAGTAGACTGCTCAACACAACCCGGCTACTTGAAGTCCTCAATCTTCTGTCAGTCATTGAGACCAACTACTGGTGAGCAACATCCAGTTACAATTAGGGAAATAAAGATATGCAAGAGAGAGACTTAGCAAAGTTTGGAAGTGTTTGCACCAGTGCAAATGTTGCTATTGTTAACAGTGGCACTAACCCCATGATACCATATACTGTACAGGGGACTGAACAACTCAGTAGGATTAAGTAATAGTTGAAGTTATTCTCTCAAAGTAAGGTTTTAGGTGATAATGTAACTGTTGATGAAAACTGAAGAAACTGGTGAATTTTGTGCTGGTGCAAATCTTACCAGGTCTGACCCTTCCACAACGGTGCATCGACTTTAAACCTCTGACAGAGAAATCAGAGGCTCAGGAAAAAAACTGCTCTTTTCATTGGTTTAGAAGTGGGAAGCTTCAAATCTTTCTCGGGTTGTTGACCTAGAATATCTGGCAACCCAGACAGAAAAAGGGGGTAGAGCACGTCAGCTAGATTGGGAATGCTGTTGAAAAGCCCGTCACGACTCCTCGTTGCCTGAGTCGTCCTCATCGTAGCAGCAGTCGCCGTCCCCGTCCTCCACGTCGTCGTCATCGTAGTAATAGTCATAGAAGAGGTCGGAGCCCTCGTCGGGGGCCGGGGCGCGTGTGCGGATGCAGTACTCGGCCAGCGTGGTGGGCACCTTCACGCCGTCGCGCTCAGCTTCCGCCTTGGTGGCCAATACCTGTTTCCTGAGGGAGATAGAATATGAATGATGAGTCAGGGCTGACACTTGGAAAAGAGGCTCTTGAAATGTGGTTTACTGTCGTAAGAAACAAAAGTAATAATCGTGATCAAGTTTGACTGTTTACCTGATGATCTCCACGTATTCCCGGTCCTTGCCCTTGCTGTCCCTCCATTTGCGGTACATGACGGAGGCATCCACGTTGGCAGGAGAGAAGGTGTTGGGTTCATTCAGCAGCGAGATCACACTAAGCAAAATAGTCCTGGAAGCAAACACAAAATGTGAGTGGCAAGTGTTAAAACTAATGCACAAGAAAATACCATACAGAAATTAAATAAAAGGATATAAACACATTAATTATTTATTTGTTGTTTTAATTTTTTATTTATTATTCCATTTATATGGAATATTGAATCTCTCTCCATCATGCCTCTTTAGTGTATTTTACAGTTCAGTCAAGCTGTGCAAATTAGGGCAGCAACCAATGTTTTGCTGACCAACAGCTCAAAATTATTAACGATGTGAAGTCAAACAAAACAAATAAATATATCAATCAGAATTAAGTTTTAATGCTTGCAGTGTGAACGTCTAATTAAATCCTCCCTCTTGTTTGTGAACATTAGAAACACTTCTTGAAGTCTGGGTCAACACCACAGTAGTACAGTACAAACTCAAAAATAAACAGTTTAATCAATACCACTCGGACAGTGTCAATAACACTGAACATTACTTATCTTTATAAAAAGGAAGAATTTATATCATTATTTAATTTAATTTATGGCTCAGCTGTTGTATTGGATTGCATTAGATTTAAAGTAATAAAGTTAAGTGGCCATTGAGTGTGCCGGAGCCATAGTTGTGCTTCTAGATGGTGAAAATTGCTGTCTAGAGAGAAGTAACACATTTTCAACTGTGTTATAATTATTGTATTAAATGTAGAATTTACTAATATCAACATCAGTTCTGTTGCACAGTGTAAATGTGGATAGTGCATCTGCGGTGGACATTTTGACTTGTAATAGCAGGAAAAGCCCCGTTAACATGAATCAACACGGAACAGCAGAGCTCTGGAACTGGAACACCTACATGGAGCGCAGCCATTGTTAATGTCATTAGTTCCGCCTGTGCTGGTTGCTATGGCGAGTCAAAAAGGCAGCAGCAAAAAAATAAAAAAAATAAATCAATAACCCACAACTTTATTAACAAGGAGGCTGAAAGAAATAAGAAATGATCACAAATGCAATTAATTCACATAGATGCCAAGTCCCATGTATTTGTATGCTACTTCATAAAAAATAAAAAATAAAATTTTTTTTAAACTTGTTTAATTTTGGTCTTTTAAAAATGCAAATTTATCGTAATGTCGACACACTATATAGGAATACTTTTAAAATACATTTTTAATTACAAAAATGTATTTATAAAGGTTGATCTCATTCTGTTTGTGACCAAGTACGGTATTAAGAGGGATCAGTTAAGGTGCAGCTTTTATTTTTAGCAGTGAGGGCAAATTCCCTGCTGCAGTGCAAGAAAATGTGCTCTGACACAAATAAACAATACAGCAAACAGCTGAAATATTTAATTTTTACACCAAGTGGTGATGCCCACGGTGGGAAATTTAGTACCAGCCACATGTTAAATGGTGAAAATATTTTAAAGTGACACAAAATAATTACTTACTATTGAGTGGCTGGTGAATTTAACCATTTATCTGTTAGAGGCTGATGTTCACATTTAAAGCCTACACATTGTGTAGTAATTATTGCACAACAAACCAACATATAAAGAGGCAGATGCCCAATGCCAACACTGAACAAAAAACAGACACGTGTTGCTGAATACTCAATGCTAGTTTCTGGGAACTCTCAGAAGAGAATGGACATTTATCTTCAGTACTCCACTGAAGATAAATGTCATGTGATAAGCGTATGAGCCAGGTCACTCATTGAAGTGGCTGAGAGAATACAAAGAAGGGAGGTTCCCAGAAAGGAGAGACATATGGGGGGAGATAATGAGGGAGACTGCTAACCGGACATTCTGGGTGGGATTCCATCTCTCTGAAGGCAGCTCTCCGCTCTGTGGGTCGTCCACCGGAGGGTGCAATATAGAAATGCACACATCTCCATTCTAAAAACAAAGGAAAGCAACTATTTAACCACGAGATGCATCATAACCACCAAAAGACCAAACAAGATCAAATACAGCGACGTGGAAATAAAAAGGTGTTTAATATTATGAGACAGAATCAGGGTGTTTTATACTCCACCTCGTAGATGTTGGGGTGCCACATCTTGGTGAGGAACCGGAAGGCAGGTGGGGAGTATGGGTAGTCTATGGGGAACTTGATCCGAGCCTGGGACACAAAACAGGTCTTTACAAAACAGGTCTTTACATGTGGCCGTGCACTAGAATCACTACAATATACTGTATGACATATTTATAGTGACCGAAATATCAATCATTTAATATTGTGTGGTCATGCAAGTAGTGCAGTAAATGATACTTCTAGTGTAGATTACGCACCAAAATAGATTGTGCTCAAAATATATAATAGCTTTAGAGTGACTCTGCATCACACAACTGTTTAACCAGATGTGCCAAAGACGATTTGGTTATTCTACAGTATTCTTACCTTAAAATATCCCCCTTCATAGTGAGTGTTTGGGGGTCCGAAAATGGCCACTTCCCAGTTGTACATGTCAGCCTCATCCACCAGTGTTATTTTGAATCCCTCGACAGGCTGCTCCTGGAGGCTCTTCATTTCCAACATGAGTGCTTTCTGTGAGCTGGCTACATGAGAGTGGTCGTGTTGCGCCATAACGGACTAGGTAGCTTTCAAGATTATCTGCAGGAGACAGCTGACAGAGTTAGCCTAACTAGCCAAACGACCTACTGACACTGAAAAACAACTTGTGTGTTTTCGATGTTCGGAGACAATGAAACAGGCCGAACCAGCCGGGGCTGCGCGCAAGTCAAACAAAAGGTTTACGATGATTTATCCCCCTAGAATCTGATGAATTATTTGCCGATGTCAACACTCAGAAAGTGGTGAACTGAGCAGACCATTGTGGCTGACCAGCGACTCGAGCTTTAGTTGATCTAGCTGGCAGGTCAGCCACGGATATAAGCCGTAATCTACTGCTAGCTGCTGGCTAAAGTGAGATAGCTAACAAGCTCTACCTTACCGAGAGGCTGAAGCCGAGTTTACCGCGGCGGGAACAGTTTCTGTCTCCCTAACAGAGAGAGAGACAGATTAAAACACAACGTTAGAGCTGAAGCGCTTTCAAACACAAACTGTACCGATAATGCTCAGAAACGTAGTTGATATCGCCCTGAAAGAAGCCCTGGTAAAGAAGAATGTTGCTCAAAGAAGTCCCCCTCTCTCTTCAACACAGGCAGCGGCGCCCGGTGTGCTCTGGGATTTGTAGTCCTGTTTTCACCTATAAACATCGCTTTTAACCTCGAAAGCAACCACGAAGCCACACAATAACGTACACAACATTGTGGTTATATGACGGAAAAAGTTAACGAGGTTAATGGGCTGAGCTGCGGCCATTATTCTCTGAACTGTTTATTTAAAAGTGAATTCAGAAAACTACGTTTTCCAGTTGCCTGACGTCACGAAAACACGAATGTTGTTTGTGTTTCTGAAAAACATCCCTGACCTATTTTCTCTCTCAGATTATTTGAACATAAAAACACATTTATATCGTGTTAATTTGATTCAGGGGGTTCTGTGTGCTATTAAAAACACGGAGGGGATTTATTTGTACTTTTTAAAAAATGACTTTATTTATTTCCTCGATATAGACACTCGTGACGTCTACAATACGCGCCATTTAGTAGAAAGTCCCTTGAAGATGTCTTGATGCTGCCTGAGTAATTCATTTTGAAACCAGACAACGTAGCGCATTGTTTTGATATCTGTAAGTGTTTCTAGAGGCCGACATGAATGTTTATTAGCTTATTAAACATTATACAAATACACATACAATACACATACTTTACAACGCGAGGACCGCATAACGTCTTCTTTCCTACGTCTTATTTACGCGTCAGGGTGCACGTCGGACCCCGCATTGGCAGAAAGTTCGTGATGGGTTCGAAATCACGACGTCGTTCCCGCTCCAAGTCCAGAAGTCGGAGCCGGGATCGGCGGAACAGGTCCAGAGTGAGCCGGTCTCGATCCCCGGACGACAACAGAGGCCGCAGTCGGTCCGCGGACAAGAAAAGAGCCGCCCGTGGACGGGGACGGTCGGGCAGCAGGGAGTCCAGCGACGGCTCCCCGGGACGGAGACGGCCTCAACACAGGGACCGTGCAGGTTCCCGGAGCGGCTCGGAGAGCGACCGGAGGCGAGGAGCTCACCGAGCCAGCAGCAGGTCGAGGGGTCGGTCATCGAGGTAACTGTCTGCTGCCTGCTTGTTCGGGTGTTTATGGATCCGACCGGTCCTAACAGCAGTGCTCCATGTGTTTGTGTACTGCTCCATAAGTACAATAATAATAATACAGTCTCCAAACACCTTATATGTTTTATCTGTTCAATGCACTACAATTATACTGCTTATTTAAACATATATTGAATTTTATATTGCTTTTTTTATATGTCTAGGTTGTTCTCTTTACTTATTGTGTTGTTACTGTGTGTAATGCTGCTGCTACACTGCAGTTTCCCAGCTTGGGATCAATAAAATCTACTTCTTATCTATCTGTCTATCTATCCTATCTATCTATCTATCTATCTAAGTAGCGTCAGTGCCCGTGCATCTGCATGTCGTATAGAGGATATGTGGACTGTAAGCTGAACCATGTCTTCCATTAAATCCTACTGACTGAGAGTAAATAAGAAATGTGTTCCTTTAGTTTACATGTTTACCCATCCAGGAGCAAAAATGTACTAAATTAATATGTTTTCTGCTTCAGCTCTGATTCAGATGATCCCAAAGTGAGAAGGAGGAGGAAGGAAAAGGAGAACAAGAGAGGAACATCTGGAGATGGGAGAAGGGGAAGGTCCCAGCACAGCTCCGACTCCCGTGATGGAAGCAGCGACAGAGAAAGGAGGAGACGGACAAGTCCTGACAGAGGGAGCCCGGTCAGAGACAGACAGAGGATGGAGCGAGACCGAGACGGAGACAGAGAGAGGTGGAAGAGCAACAGCAGAGACCGGGAGAGAAAAGGAGACCGAGACAAAAGCAGAGAGCGAAAGAAGATGAGTGAAGATCGGGAGGAAGGGAGGAGCGCGAGGAGCAGAGAGAGGGCCGCCAGAGACCGAGGCAGGCAGTGCTCCAGTTCACCCGAGTCGTCTGACAGCTCAGGGTCTGATCGCGGAAGACGTGAGGTCAAAGAAAAGGAGGAAAAGAAAAAACAGAAAGACATGCTGAAAGCTCTGGAGACGCCGGAAGAGAAGAGGGCCAGGAGGCTGGCGAAGAAGGAAGCAAAGGAGAAGAAGAGAAGAGAGAAGATGGGCTGGAGTGAGGAGTACATGGGTTACACCAACGCAGACAATCCCTTCGGTGACAACAACCTGTTGGGCACCTTCAAGTGGCAGAAGGTGAATAAAGGAGCAGTTTTAAACATTTGATACATTTTTTATTATAAACTGTATTTCCTGTCACAACCTGACTCTGAATATCGTCGCTCATCTTGTTGTTTTTTTTGTGTGTATTTTCTTTCAGGCGTTGGATAAAAAAGGCATCGGCCATCTCGGAGAAAAAGATCTTAAAGATCGGAACAAGTGTATCCAGGAGGAAAACCGCAGAGAGCTGCAGAAGGTATGAGCCGTGGGGTCGTTTTTTATTTTTTATCTGTGGCAGTATAACGTCACCAGAGTTGAGTGAGTAACAGCCTCTTCATTTACACGTTGTGCATTAAGGTAAAACAGCTGCGACTGGAGAGGGAACGAGAAAAGGCCATGAGAGAGACGGAGCTGGAGATGCTGCAGAGAGAGAAGGAGGCCGAGCATTTCAAGACCTGGGCTGAACAGGAAGACAACTTCCACCTGCATCAGGCCAAACTAAGGTGGGTGTGCATCAACAATAACTGATTAAATCTAATTAGCAGCTTCCCCTTTTTCATGTCACAGAGGATTCCTGTTGCTGTGTGATTTTATTTCATCACAGTTCCAGTTAAAGGTCCAGTGTGGAAGAATCTGCTGGCAGAAATTGATGTTTTTAGTAGAATGAAAATAAGAATTGTTGTGTTTTTGTTACCTTAGAATGAGTTTTTATCTACAGAGGTCGCTATGTTGAACTGCCATGGTCCTACAGTAGCCCAGAATGGACAAACACTGGCTCTGCAACTTCACCGCCAGCTGCCACTAAATCCAACTGGTCCTTTTAATTTCCAGACGCTTTCTCACAATATTGTGCGTGCTGTTTTCAGGTCTAAGATTAGAATACGTGATGGCCGTGCCAAGCCCATCGATCTGTTGGCGAAGTACATCAGCGCAGAGGATGACGATCTTGCTGTGGAGATGCACGAGCCTTACACCTTTCTCAACGGACTGACGGTCACCGACATGGATGACCTGCTGGAGGACATTAAGGTGCGTGGTTATGTTTTAAGTGTGAACGTTGTTTGACCATCTTAGAATAGCTCTAACCGTACAGGATTCATTTTATAGTGGAGATGTAGTAATGTAATAAGAAGTAAGAGGAACTTAAACATTGCAGCCTCATTTAACTCTTAATAAATGTGTGTTTATAATCAATGCATCCATCCAGTATGCCTGTTTTGAATCTGGACCAATACAGTTAAGCACCAATAATCCCAGGCCTCATGTTACCATTAAATCGATTCTGACGACGCATACGGAAGATATATCTGCTAATAGAGAGCACTGGTATCGGATCGGTTCATGTTATCAGCAGATAGCCTGAATTAAAGTATTGGGGTGAATGCTTAAAATATCCAGTAAATAGGAACTTACATAAAACTCACGTTTAAAATGTTTTTGTTGAAATGAACAAACTCAAGTTCGTGATTTTATGGCATCACTTTTTTTTTTGCAATTTAACCACCCGCTGTCTGAGTTTGGTAATCACCTCATTGTGAGATGATGAGTTGTGCAAGTTCAAGTCACTGTATGTAGAGAAGTTGTGTGATTATAGCGTCTTTCAAAATATTTTTAAGTGGTTATTTTATAAAAAAAATTGGACATTCACACTGACATTCGGAGTAGTATAGTCTGTTTCCTTTTAACAGGTTCATCTTTTTTTATGTGTTCTTCTTTCAATCGCCACTGGGGGGCAGCAAATTCAAAATCTTCAAAAAGTATTGGTTCTGGAGTAATTAAAATAATTGTTTGATTTAACGTATCCATTTAGAAATAAAATCAATAAGGACCATAAAACGTGTTACATTATGGTCATACGCTAACCCAACATTAATCTTGAATGATCACTAAGCCCAAAGTGTGAACTAATTAGAAATGTTTGTCAGATTGACTCTTAACATGATGATTATTTCTCACCTTCTGTCCTTCAAATGAACTCCATGTGTATACGGTTACTGTATGAGTGTTGTCGTCCCGGTAGGTGTACATGGAGTTGGAACAAGGGAAAAACGTGGATTTCTGGAGAGACATGACGACAATCACCGAGGACGAGATCAGCAAACTACGAAAACTGGAGGCCTCTGGGAAAGGACCAGGTACATGATTATTCCCTGTCAAACACTAACTGTATGAGCAACAGGAAGCTGCGTTCAACCTAATTTCTCCGCTTTATGTTCAACGCAATCTTGTAAATTCCCAGGCGACCGTCGTGAGGGCATCAACACAGCCGTGAGCACTGATGTACAGACGGTGTTCAAAGGAAAGACGTACAGCCAGTTGCAGGCACTGCACCTGAACATCGAGACGAAGATTCGGGCCGGAGGGTCCAATCTTGATATCGGTTACTGGGAGAGTCTCCTGCAGCAAGTCAGAGTCTACATGGCCAGAGCAAGGTACGAATCTGGAGTTACTATGCTTCAATAATTTATCAGCCTGATTTTTGAATGCAATCTCAGCATGTACCCAACCAAATCAGCTTCAGTAGAGGTTAGCTGGATGGTTAATAATTAACCTGGATAGACGGTGGAAATGGGTGTCTAAAACTACTGTTGTGTGTCCCAGGTTGAGAGAGCGACACCAAGATGTGCTGCGTCAGAAGCTGTTCAAGCTGAAACAGGAACAAGGAGTGGAGAGTGAACCATTGTTCCCCATCATCAAAGAGGAAATGAGGAGTGATGATGATGAGTAAGTTACTTTTAAGCCACACACACGACACACATCCTTAAAACACACCTGGTGTTCAGTCAGTTTACGTGACATTCAGTTCACCTCTGTTTATTTTCAGGATGTGTATTATAACCTCAAACAATGTATAAAAAACCCAAATGTTTTTGTAACATCAGGGAGAGAACAGAAGAGCAAACCAGGGCGAAAACAACCGAAGAGTCTGGCCAGTCTTCGTCCTCCACAAAATACAGAAACAGAGAAACACAAGAGGACGGAGAGGAGGCGGGTCCGTCAACATCCACCGCAGGAAATCAAGATGGCGACAAGAAGGACGAAGAGGAGAAGGGCGAAGTGGTGGAGGCCGTGTTGACGGAGGAGGATTTGATCCAGCAGAGCCAGGCGGAGTACGACTCTGGTCGCTACAGTCCCACGCTGCTCACGTCGTCCGAGCTGCCGCTGGACTCGCACACGACCACACCGGAAGAGGACATCCACAGGCTGCAGCTAGCACGCAGGCAGCTACAAGTCACAGGTACGAGTTCATCCTCAGCTCTCCAAATGTTGATCAAGCCAATCTTTGGTGTGTGGATTTGTAAATACGTGACGCATATTTCTCCCCAAGACGCTCACTGTTGCTTCTTTGACTTCTGTATCAGGTGACGCCAGCGAAAGCGCCGAGGACGCCTTCGTACGTCGTGCCAGAGAGGGCATGGGCAACGACGAGGCCCAGTTCAGCGTGGAGTTTCCCGTCACAGGGAAGATGTACCTGTGGGCGGACAAATACCGTCCGAGGAAACCCCGCTTCTTCAACAGGGTCCACACAGGCTTCGAGTGGAACAAATACAATCAAACCCATTATGACTTCGACAACCCTCCGCCCAAGATCGTCCAGGGTTACAAGTTCAACATCTTCTACCCGGACCTGATTGACAAGCGCTCCACCCCACAGTACTTCCTCGAGCCCAGTCCAGACAACAAGGACTTTGGGATTTTAAGGTTCCATGCAGGCCCTCCATACGAGGACATTGCCTTTAAGATAGTGAACAGGGAGTGGGAGTACTCTCACCGACACGGCTTCCGCTGTCAGTTCGCCAACGGGATCTTCCAGCTGTGGTTCCACTTCAAGCGGTACCGCTACAGGAGATAGAGGGCCACACACCGAGATGGACCAAGAGCCCATACACTTGAGTAGCTCAAAATCCCCCACTGGGTTTTAAGCACACACTGTATATTATTATAGGCAGTGGGGTTAATGTGCTTTGTTGTATTGTTTGCAGCTGCTTTTACACCAAAAAGCAGTTAGTAAAGCTTGAAATCCCTCTGTATTGTTGTCTGGAAAAGTAAATTGTAATGTCTGAAATTGACACATTAAAGGTTTTTTTTTCCACTTTTTACTGTTTGCAATCTGCTGCTGGTTTATGGTTTTTTGTTTCCCGTGAACAGCAATTTAAAACAATTTCAGAGTTACAGAGTTAAAACATTGAACATTTGAAAGTTCGGTCTACAGACAGACTATCTTCAAAAACCCAACTGTCATACACAAAAGCACAAAGAGGATTGATAAGTACAGGTCCCTCCACATCTGTTCTTCACATTCTTGGCAAGTCCAGTCATGCTGAAAAGTAGTAAACCCTGCTGGCTCGATTTGGATACACTGGAGCAAAACAAGGACCAGGTAGAAACGGTTTATTATAATAAAACTAAATGTTTGCAGCTAGTGGTTAGAATTGAAATGGCTCAATTTTAGTTATTGTACATTCCTTGTGAAAATCATACCAGTCTGTATAGATAAGATATTTCAATCTAAATCATCAATTAGTAGGAAACTAAAATATACTTTCAAATGCACAAACAATTATAGTAAAACAAAAACAGTAAAGCAGAAATTCAAGTGTCTCATTATTTTGGTGTGTCCAACTGTGCTCGACTGTTTATAGTCTCTGAATTCAAAGTTTCAACCATATGGAAAGTATTTAAACTCATTGTAAACGTCCCATATGTTGAACGGAACAGCTCTGAATTCATTCTCAAATTTCGGACTCATCATCAATAAACTGCAGAGATGGAAGATTAACTTTTGGGGCATCATTGTCCTCTGCAGCACTGAATGCTGCCTCTCCTCCGGTGTGGTTGTTATTGCTGGTGCCGTTGTCTGTTCCTGACACCAGGGGCTTGTCCTCTGCCAGGGCAGGCCTTGGTGCCTCTTGGTAGGTCACGCTGGAGTTCAGACCCCCCTGGTCCTGGGGTTGTTCTTGGTTCTTTCTGCAGTTCCAAGGAAGCGGTATGTGGCCTTTGTAAAAATTCCAGGCCAAAAGGACAAGAAGACCAACTACGAGGAGCCCAACGACAGCCTGCAGTCCAGTCACAGAGGGGCCATCCCTCTGAGCCTGGGGAAAAAGCAGATTCCTATCGCCAGAGCCTGCTGGACCTACGCTAACCTGGTAAATGGCCACAATGGTCTTGTACTCGGCAGCTTTGGAGCTCTCCACAGACAGACAGCGGTACCGACCGATGTCGGTGTTTGAGGCGTTGAGGATAAGCAGTCCGTCTCCGAGATGCTGAACGCGAGGTTCAGAGATCAGAGGGCTGCCGTCCCGTTCCCAGATGATTTTTGCCAGGTTGGAAGGTGAAGGGCAATACAGCTTCAAGTTTCCCCCAGGCCAGATGGACCGATTCAGAGGCTTAACAGGATCTGAAAACAAAACAGAGGTCCCTCACAGATGCGTTTTGATTTTGAAAAACCCACAATCAACCTCAACTATGGTTCTTTGAAGAAGTAGAAAATTGGTTTCATTCTCAATCACAAAAAATAAATATGTATCATATATCATATTATATCAGGTAATAGTGTGCAGTAACTCACCAGCATCTGGGCAGAGAGAGGCATCTCCTTTCTTGACACTTTGGATTAGTTCACTGAAGCAGAAGATACAATAATTGAAGTTTGAAGAGAATAGATATCAACACTACTTGCTCTACATGTCAGGACAAGTGCCTACCTTTGTGAACTTGAAAGGAGAATACATTTCCCAACAACTTTGTCCCAGCCACAGTATGGGTCTCTGGTTAGCACACAGTCCATACAGGATGAGGACCTTCCACAGGTGGCCAGTGGCATCTGTGCTGCTCCAGAGTCAGATCCTGCATAGATCTGACCCTGTACACAATGGATCCATCACTTACAAACACAGTAAGGACATGGGATGTATGTGCTTTACCGTAATATACATGGAAAATACACGTTAGTAGTTATTTAAAAGTAATAAGCCCTTAATTAGGCTGTGATAGAGCTTTAATTTACCGTAACATTAGAGAATTTCATAATCTTGATTGGCTCTGGGAAACGGAAGAGTTGGATTTCTTCGATGATGAACATCTCTCCATCGTAGTTCACCGCTTTCAGCACTGTGCCCTCCTCTATTCATAGAAAAATATAGAAACATACTATATTTACATGCGAATACATGGCCTACTTTCCCCCACTGCTGGTTTCAAGTTTGCAAAAGCAGAAAAGTATACAGAAGTGGCAGTGTGCCGCATGGACCGCACCTGTGCCAATGAACATCACATGGTACTTCTCGCCATCTGCAGCCTGCACTTGGTTGACTATGATGCGTGTGAATGTAGCTCCCCTTCGCACCAGTAGAGGCCTCTCTCCTATTGGCTGGATGGCTTGGTCCATGAGGGGCCTATCTTTGATAAATTGAAGGGTCCGGTCTGGGAGGTCCAGAGTCTGAGTTATGCCCGCTTTACGAGCCTCATTGTCTATGCACTGGCGAGGGAAGAGGGGAAGGAAAGAGAAAAGAGAGAACAACGGAGTCAGGGGACAAAAGGAATCAGCTTCCTGCTGGGCCACTCGTTAAAAAAGGAGTTGCCTTTGAGTTTTGTCTTTGTTTCTAACACACGCACACACACGTTGAATAGTGGGCAGACTCACAGCTCCGGGCCGAGGGACGGGGACATCTCCGCTATACATCACCCACTTAACAAAAGAGGTTTCTACGGGGACTGGGGTCTTGTACTTCCCCTCCGCAAACACTCTGCTGATTTCAGACACACGGTACACACACACTGCAGACAGGTCTGATGTGTCCCTGAAACACACACACACACACACACACACAGAAAATGTGAGCCAAGTGGTGTGCCAAAGACCACTAAAGAGAAACAAACCTTCCTCCTTCTAACACAAACACGTTTGTTAATTCAAAACGTACGACTGTGGTGTGAAGATGGCGTAGAACAAACAGTCCTTCCAGCGCTGCTGGGGCTCACACCAGCGGTAAGTGTCCTGGATAATGTACGGCAGCTGAGACTCCAGCACTGGGCAGTCCATTCTGGCCTTCAGGAAGGATGTCCACTTCTTCTGCAATGTCCTCTGACCTCCAAGATCTCCCTGAGAGAACAGAAAGAGACCATAATGTTACATTGACAATGGGAAAGCACAAAGACAAATGGGATGCACAATCAAACAGCGGAAAGGGCAGAAGGAGCGCAACTGAGGAAGTGCTGTGTGTATGTTATTGTCGTTATGGTAAAGGCAGCTGCAACAAATAAGTGTATGCATGATGAACTCTTTCACCTTGCAGACACGGGCCACACGAGAGACCACCAGTTTGTTGTAGCAGTCGCACTCCACAGCTGTCTCACTGAAGAACAGGTAAACCTTGTCGTCGTCTCCATCCTTGCTCAGCTCGCCCTCTGGCATCTGAGCCATTGAGACAAAGTTGGGCTCTGGCATAGAAAGAAGAAATGGGAATTTTGACTTGAGCTAGTGAGCAAATCATAAAGGTGAGAAAAATGTAGTAAATGTAGCGTCTTACCATTAAGCCAGGAGCTCTTGAACTCAGTACGTATGGAGACAGGAGAGCTGCGCATCAGGACAGGTTCAGAGCCCAGGAAGTTCATTGAGGTGGCTGAGTACAGACGGTTTTCTGGCGGACACATGACAGCGGACACAGAGATACAAATAAAAACACTTTGCTACATTAACCAATCCTCCTCAAGTTCGTATCTGTTCTATAAACACTCCTCACCAAACATGATAGAGGCGTATCTCTGGAAAGGATCAAATGGACACTTCCCTTTGCCATCTTCTCCTTTCTTCTCAAGAGTCAGCTTTCCATCTACATAAGACTGCACAGACAAATATCATTAAATCTTACAGATATCTTATACATGCTATGATTTTCATTTAACAAGCTATACAGCATCAATTTATGCAGTGTGGAATACGAACTGAGATGAGGGAGAACCGTGGCTCTGAATTTGTCTCACCATGTAGTCACACTCGGGATCAAAAGCATTGGTTCCGCACACGTACATCTTGTTATCCTCCGTCTTATGGAGGATCCTGATGTAGTTCTTGCAGTCCGTCTGTAATTGCATTTTAAAAAGCAATGACTCCATCAACTCAATATGTAATATGTTTTAAATAGCAGGAGCTGAAGTGACCCACCTCAGGATCTTTTCCTTTGTTCTTACAATCATCTTCTTGCTTTTGTGTCACTTCCCATTTAACCTGCGTGAAGTGAAAGAAGTGAAAAACTATTTGTTACATCGTTTTTAAATGTTTCTGTTTTTAAACAATACTTGTTTTTCTGTTGTAGAAACGGATAAACAGAACACTTTGGTATTTTTCGTGCCTTTGTGTAACAACTGACAGTGACCTGGGACATTGTGTGATACATGGCCACACTATTAACAATTACAAAAACATACTTTTTATAAAGGAAACAAATCAGTTGGTAAGAAGACAGAAGTAAAGTAAAGGTAAAATGTCCTTGCAAATGTAACTGAAGTGGGGGTAAAACTGTTTAAAGCTGGTTTGGTTTTAGTACGTGTTGAGTAATTTGTAGTGACAGTATAAACTATTATAGTATCTATTATATCTATCTATAGTGACTTTTTCCAACGCTGTTTGTCTCTCAGGCAGCACTCCCTCCCGAACAGTGAGTGAGCTACAAGTGCAGGCCAGAAATCCTGGCACGATACACAAATCTGCTCTTCATTTATTTTCTCTCAGCCCTGGGCCAAGAAATCTCTGATAAGAAATTTCAAAAGTAGACGAACGCTAACAATAAATCAGCGCCGCTCCAAGGCAGGTTTGGCCTTAACTGGATCGTTAACAAAAGGTGTTCTCACTGAAGCAAGTTTCTTGGAGATGTCGTTAAGGTCAAGGGCATATACTGCCTCCCTGGCACCCAGCACTAGCAGGTCCAGATCTTCTCTCAGCAGCATGGTGGAGTAGTTGGACACTCCCTCCTCATGAAAGAGGTGAGCATTGTCCCCTGGAGGCAGAATATAACTGATTAACTCACAAACCAACAGTGATTAACACAAGTTTCACAATGAGTCATGTCAAACTTAAAACCCATATGAGCCAACATGGGTCTGACACATTGTTAGTCAAGGTTACACAAGACAGACAGCAACACTCACTGTGATAGGGCACGGATCTACGGGGGATACAGTCCAGTGGTGAGTCTTCTTCCAGCGTCAAGGCCAGGGGCAGCAGCCAAAAGACACCGAGGGACAGCAGCCAAAAGACACCGAGGGACAGCAGCGGATGCATGGCTCTTTTGTTCAGGCTGAGAGGAATTTAAGCTTTATTGTTTCCCAAACCGTCAGTCATACAGGGGCGAAGACAGCGAGTGGCATCTATGAGGTGATGAGGTCTGTGCTGACTGAAGGGCACTGGCCCCTTTACTGGCCCCGCTCAGCAGGCTGTCCATGATGAGATGGATGGCACACACCAAAGAAACAAAGCCGAGGAGGGCTGAAAGAGACAAGGTTGTATTGGTACATCACAATCAATTCACCAGATGTGAAGACCTGACTGGGCAAAAAACGCTGGAAATATGTACAGCGAATTAAAAAACACCCACCCCCACCCCAAAAAGAAAGAAAGAAAGAAAGAAAAACTAAAGTGTGATGTGAAGAGACACATTTCAGTTTTAAAACAAAGTGAGAGACACAAAGCAGAAGAGTAGAGGAAGAGGCCAGAAAGGGCTAAGAGTGAGCTAAAGTCAGCGCTGCAGTAATTCTGTCAGTGCCATAGTGATGTTAATGCAGGAGCATGAAAGGCATTCAGCGGGGTGCAGGGATGTCAACCTCAGCTCTCCTGCAGCACCAAACACAAGCCTACAATGAGAGATTCACAGAGAGTGCCAAAGGCTGGTGCTCATGAGAGAGGAGCTCTTGCAACAAAGTTTAAAAAAACATGGTGGTTTGGGTGGCTTTTGTAATGCAACAGCAACATGTTCTTCTTCGTCCTGCAGTGCCACCACATCCTGCA